TCTTGCTGATTGGGTGCTGGACTAATTGGATTAATGCATTGGACACCTGCTCAGGGCGAGTCCATAGCATTGGAATGCAGGGCATAAATGCTTTTTATCTTAAAAATCAACAGTTTGCATTATGCAAATAAAAATCATAACCAATAATGTAGGAGATAGCTGTCCAACTGTTGCATGATTCTTAGTTATATGTCACTTCATACTACAGTTATATCAATATAAATAGCATTGTGTTCCCTTGTATTTCTCCTTCTTTCCTTGCCATGTCGTGAAATGTGGTGAAACCATGCTGAATTTGCCCCAAAGCAAATGTCGTTCTTTCTATTTTTTTTTTTAATGTTTGTGGTGCATGGAAAATACTACCCTGGATGCCAAACTAGTATCGGGCCGTTAGCCGTTTTCCTTCGGCAGCCATGAGCCCTTCGCCCGCCTATCTAAATTACCGCTACGGGGGAGTTGAGCCCGAGGGGTTTGTGCGGCCAGCCAAACTCCCCCCCGGGCTAGACTCCCCCGTAGCGGTAATTTACACCAGCGGGCGAAGGGCTTTTGCGGCCCGGAAAACGAGTTCTGGATTCCAGGGTAGGAAGATACAGCACAGTGCGTCCTCCTGCCATCAGCAGCCCTAGTCCCGCTGTTTGTGTTGGAGTATGCTCTTGTCGCCACCCTAATGCTCAGAAAACAAACACAGGGCGATGATTGTGATCAGTCATTTGGGGGAGGGCGTGTGAATTAGAGATATCGGGTTATTATTGGGCGTTAGCCAACAGTGGGGAAATGCCATCTAAAAAGTTAGCCATAATAAAAAATACTATACAGCCGTCAGGCCTAGGTAGGCGCCTATATGTTGGAACATTGGGGTCAACTTTGAACCAATTTTAGAAATACACCCCATCCAGTTTTACCTGTACAAAATGTGGATAGTATTTTCAATGACTCTGAAATTAAACGTTGCAATAACTATAACTTTCTAACTGTTAGCAGTTAATTCAACTTGAAGTTTAATATTTATGCATGCAATATTTCTCCAATGGGCCCCTCGATCGTGGCCACTTCCGACAAAATCTTTTGTTTATTTACATGACAGAAACCTATTGAAATATTTAGGGCGACGCCTCTCCATACCCAATGTTATTTGCCCACCATTAGCTCTTGATGATGTAAAAGGAAGCTTGACCAGATGTTAGGCTGGTAGTACCAGACATGGACCTGTCCTGACTTTTTGTTTCTCCAGGCGCCTGACATGCCAGGCTAGCGCAGCTGGTCGGCATAACGTCACCATCGCCCCGAAACTACATCTCTCATGATTTATCTGAAAAACGTTTTCCTTATGTATATAGTCAGTCAGTCTAAACTCTTCATAATAACGTTGTGCAGTAGTTCCTTGAGGTACAGAGAACCAAAAAACAACAAACAATTTAGGCCACAGCAAGTAAGTAATTTTCATGGATGACATAAGCGGGCGCATTAAGATATCTGTTGCCATTCCGGGACGTGGATGGCAAAAAAATATGATAACTTTCATTCCTTTTATATGTGATTGTGGCTGTGTATTGTGATGTTCCCATTGACGTAAAGCCATTTGTACAATCATTGAATGCTTGAAAACTTTTAAAGTTGCTTCAGTGAGGAATGGATGTTGTAATAGTTGTCAGTAAACTTAGCACAAAGCAATATAGAACTGATATCATTTCTTGTTTAACAAGGTTTATGATGTCAAAATTTGGTCCGCCATGTTTTGTTTTCACCCGCTCACATTAGATTTGGAGTCTGCGGAGGATGTCATCCATAAAATTTACTTGCTGCGGCCTTAGGTGCAAGTTGTAAAATTGGGTATGAATTATGTTAATATTAGTTAGGATGATTTAATTAATAATGATAACTTAATTGCACAACAATTGTACATGGTACAAAGTATATGGCATCTACTAGTACATAACATTTTCATTAGGCTACCCTAAAGTAATACAAGATATTACTGCGCCTGATAAAGAAAATATGTTATAGCTGTACCCAATATCTCTTATCAGATAAACATACCTTGTACAAAATACGTCTACTGTCGGAGGCTATGATTGCTCAAACAACAAGTTCCGAGATCTCATACCTCCATGAAATATGGGCTTGATATGTAAATGTAACTTTTCTTTAATTATGCAAATGACTTCTTCATTAACATAATATATGTATCGTGCTGTTAACTTTTGATGAACTTACATATGTCCCAAGTATGACATTCCCATCATTCACCATTAAGAAATCATAAAATTTTCGCATTAATTATGCAATTTGCATCATTTGCATAATTAAGTATCAGTTGATGTTCCGCCTGCCATAGGTTACATACATTACATGTATGAAAGTAGTATAATGTAAAAAACTGTAATTATAGAATGTTCTTATTAATTATGCAAATAAATTCCTCCTCATTTGCATAATTTGCATTTAATTATGCACATCTCTCTCTCAGCTACCTACACGCCAAAAATGATGAAAATATGTTGTTCCTATCTGGACTTATTGGCTTTTAAACATTTCGCCAGAAAGTGCCCTGCAGTTCCAGAACAAGCTGCTAGGGGGACCAAACTCACATCACTTATTCCTGACAGGATAAGCTATCTGTCACCAAAACATCAAGACCATAGCATGTTCAGGACAAAAGATACAAAAACCGGAAGTTCTGCTGCAGTACCAAGGTCATCCACCAGGAGGCCCATATTTGACCTTGACCTTTGTCTTTCCAAGACTTACCAGCATACCAAATATCATCACAATCCATAAAGGCATTTTGAAGTTATGCTGACCACAAAGTTGCGGAAACACACACACACACACACACACACACACATACAGACAGACACGCCAAAAACAATACCTCCATGGAGGTAAATATTAGGTGTTTCCGCGTACAAGCTCTTTTATCAATTCAGGCTGTAGGTGCCTTTATTCCCATCATTGCCCGTGGATATGGAGCACGTTCTGTCTGGGATCAGGGTACAATGACCTAACGGAATGTTACCCTGGCTGTTACTGGTGTTTTCTCTGCTTCTAGTTCTATAAAACGATAGTCAGCTCCTTTGGGTTGCCAAAAACGTCAAGGAAAAGTAGCCTCTACCAGGATTCGGGATTCTTATTTGGCCAATTAGCTTTATCCAGCCGCTTCTCGAAGCCTGGTAGAGGCTAGATATTGACATTGAAGGCCCCCGTTGAACATCAATGGCAACTGGAGCCGCTAGTTTTAACGTCATAGAAAAGAAGACCAGCCCGCTTCTACCTCAACAAGGATAAACCGCTCCAAGTATGCATAACCTATGGACCCCCTCATGTTGGCAATGTGCTGTTACGGGTGTGGCACGAAATGTGTTACAGTTATAAATCTTTTCACCAGCAGCCTCGGCCACTATAACTATGAAACACATGGTTTGGCTTCGCCTGGTGGAATGTCGTGGTCTCGGGACCTGCTACAACATCATACCGGTGGGAAACACGCTTATCGTGCACCCATGAGCCTGGGTGAATGTGTAAAGCGTTGGACCAGGCTTTCCCGTACGCAGACAGTTGGCCATTTGTCGCAGATGGTTTACAGAACACGAAAATGCCAACGCAGGGTTCAAACTTTTTTCTCAGGTTGCGTAGTGGGGCAACCTAAGCCAAAAGCTAGGTTGCCCGTCAATATTTCAGCTTGTCGTCAACACCGGCTGTTTATTTTAAAAGGCAAGTCCTAAGCCAGGCCACCTGTAAAGTTGTGGCTCACATGCTGGCCAAGGCAGGACATAGTGTATTTCAACTATAAACTGTACCTTTGTATTCCAAAGAAAAGAAATATATCATAACTTGCGCGTCCAGTAAGTCTCACAGAAAATATGACTTATTTATTTATTTATTAGACTTTCCAATACAACATCAAGTAGCATGGAGGAGAGACGAAACAGGTGCATAATTGCACCTCTGCCAGTTGTCTCTCCACATACAAAATACATAATAAAACAGTAATGATACAAAAATAGACAATTTAAATGACAACATACTAAGATATATAACAATACTTGACAATGACTTGGTGGATATTTCGAAATCTGCAACATAAACCCACCATTTTCAATCTGCCTTACTGTTGACTTGTACAATACTTACACTGGTCCAGTTCATATCCAAACTTTATTGAACAACATTAAAAAAAAGTACAAGACACAGTGGTGAACAACTCTGGCCACTGCAAATTTAATTTGACAAAGAAGAATACAATCTATAGCAAATAACAAAACAACAGATGAGCAGTTCGAAATACAAAGATAACATGTGCATAAAGAAGTGGATCATTAGAATTGTTAAATTGAGTGGTTAATTAGTAGGCAGTTTTTAAAACGTTCAGTAAAATATACATCGTCTTGTGTCGACAATATAGGTTAGCCTGGGTACCATCCTATTTGTAGGCCCTGGCATTTGTTTATTGTTTTGTATTTGCACATGCGTATAAAATACAAAACAATACAGAAAGTAAATATAATAATTGGACGAAACAGAATATAGAATAATAAACCTAAACAGAATGACTGTGCTGGAGGAGGAAGAAGCCTCAGGGCTTATTCTTGTCCTCCAAAACAATTAAAAGCATAATAATAATAATAATGACAATAACAATTATAGTAAGGGCAAGTAATTAACATATGAAACATAACAGTAAGTAAACTCATTTCCCATAACAAAATTACATGGTGATATTACAAATTTAAAGATCTAGAACGATGGCAATGTTGTACATTCGGATTTGGTAAAATAGGTACTTCAAGGTGACTATAGGTGACTAGAATGATTTATGAGATATTTTTAGGCATACAAATAGGATGGTACCCAGAGTAAAAATAGGGTTGGGTCAAAGTTAAATTTCTGTTAGTTTCTGGACACACGAAAGATGAACCCGTAAGTAACCGGTTGATACTGGCTTGGGCCACGGCCCATACCTGACTTATACCTTTCATCCTTTCCTATATGTGCTACAGGATAAACATGCAGCGTTGGTTGGTTCTACTTCTGGCCCTGTGCCTAGCAGCCGTTCACGTCGCCGTGGCACAGTCGCCTGTCCCGGCGGAGGGAGGTGAGAGCCCGCCCGAGGCGCCCCAGTCCCCCGAGGCGCCGGCGGCCGAGGATGTGGAGGGTACGGACGCGGAGGAGGACGTCGGCGACGTGGCCACAGACGCACCCGACGGGACAGATGCACCTGGTACGGTAGTCCTACTATCAACTTAAATACATCCAATGCAATTGCAGGGCAGCAAAACGAAAAAAAATATTCTTGAAGGGGAAATCTGTTTAATATGAATGTTTACTGCCATTTCTTGGCATTTTCGTCATCATTTCATATAGTCTCTATTTTGGGTTACCACCCATAAATAGCTAGAACCAGCCTACGATACAAAACAAGCAACTTTTTGCGTCAGTGACATCGCATTTTTGCCTCCCAGATATCAGTTTGCTAATTGCAACATCGACAATTATATGGGATACGCTCACCACACCAAAAGAATGACCAGAGAAGTGACTTTGAAAGTCCAGTTTTGCTGCCCTAAAATTGCATCGGGTATCTTTAACCTCCTGTCCATCGACATGGAATTCATTCTGCGCTTAGATAAAAATACGTACGAGATATTGTCATTACGATACGCTGTCTTGAGCCTCGGTCACAACCCGCCGTACGTGCTTTTTGTCCGTACGTTTTTGGGAGGCTAAGTCTTGGGAGAAAACGTGGGGAAGGAGTGGCATCGACGCACGTCACTCGCACGGTTTCGCAAGGTGTAAGAGTGTGGTCTGCACGCCAAGTCTGGTCGTGAGCGGTTGCGTGCATCGTACGTTGCGCAAGTGGTAAGTGAGTTGTACGTGCTTACAACGTACGATCTCTGTGCGATTGCAACTTTACCGTAAGGAGGCCGTACTCACACGTACGTCCTTTGTACGGTACGTACGGGGCACGCGCGTCGCCCGTACTCGCACGCACGGGTGGTGAATCCGTAGACAGCACGCAGAAAAAGTTTTACATGCACTTCAAGTTCTACGGCGTGTCTGCGTGCTCCTTAATCCGTAGGATTCCGTACGGAGGCGGTACTCACCACGCACGGATGCCCTACGTTTGCCCACGTTTTTGCACGTAGACAGCACGCAGAAGCACGTACGGCGGGTTGTGACCGAAGCTTTACATGATGTTATGTTTACTAATTACGATAGTCTAACAGAAAGCCACGTGCTTTTCAACAGCGGAGTGATTGTGCTTTGTATTCAAATTAGCATTTTAATTTTATGTAAAGTCATGTTGATTTGATTAACCCAAGACTGACGCGAGCGTGCGAATGAAAAAAAAATGGCAAAAAAAGTTTCCTTCATTATGAAGTTTACGTGGTCATAAAGGTTGAACAAATTACTAAACACGCAGAGAATGTTATAATGATAGACTCTTCACATTTTATTCTTTTCCTGAATTGATTTCGGCATTCTATGACATTAGCATTATTTTCAATCCCTTTTTTGCAACATTCGACATATATTCTCTTATTTTGTACGATTTACAGTATGGTCGAAAACTTTTTTTGTAAACGGACGAAAATTCATGCGCGCGTGGATGTCATCCATATAATCAAATCAACATGGCCTAAATGATGTAAAAACGTCAAACATACTTCGTCTCTGGTTCCCCATGTTCACATGATAGAAACATTATACATGGTTTTTGGCGACGTCTCAGTGAGGAGCCTAATGGTATTGTGTGCAGTTTGCAAGAATTCTAGGAATTGTACAGGCATTTTGTCCACAGGAATGGAATGTCCACAGGCATTTCTCTGACCCACATCTATGCCCACATTCCTGGAAACCCTTGGGAAGACCTCTCTGCCCCGGATGGCCCTACTTTCTGTAACCCCGGGGCTCGTTCACTATACACTCAGGGGAGGAGTGCACTGTATCTGTCTCCTTAACAGCAACCACCGTCGCCATGGCAATGTATGTTTTCATTGCCAGTCTTGTTAGAATTGGTATCTTGACGTATCTGTTTTTCCTTGGCACACAGGTGAGGGCACGGCCGCCCCCGATGTACCCACGACAGCGGCACCTGAGCCGGACGAGACCACGCCAGGAGCCGGCTGTGCCGCCATCGTCGCCAACTCCCTCCTGGTCCTCAGCACGGCCGCTCTTCTACTCACCAGCCAGTGATGACGTCACGGGGAGGGGGGGGGCTCAAGTTTAACACGTCGGCAGAACGTACTGCGCCTGTGCGAACCACGTTATGTACCGGTATTGTGAACAGCCTCGTTTAAGGTGTATTTTATGATAACATCCCGTCTGTAGGAAAAGATATCGTCTGCAACAGGCAAAATTCCGATGCAACGTTGACCAAACGTCCAACGAAAAATCGCGAAGAATCCGGGTTTCGCGCAGGCGCAGTACGTTCTGCTGACGTGTCCCAACTTGAGGTTTTCCTAAACGAGACTGCATGGTGAACGTTGGTGCTATCCCGTCGTGCCTCAGGCGCTTGTGTTCTGCACAGAACATGGAATGATGTACAAAGTTGCGAATGACGGCTGTGCCATTATGATTTGGGCTCTGGTGTCGGGAGTTAGTGCAATTTTATTTCTGTGCGACATGACAGAGTCCAATGATTCCATTTCCGTTAAGCCTTAAACTGAAAGTGTGAGCGAAGACTGTTTACACTAATTTATTGTGCCAAATGCAGAGATGTAGAGTTAGCATGTTGGACTTGACATACGCTGGTACTGCTCTCGAAAATCTGCCTCATGTACGTTAGCTCGGTAAGAAGGCCCTGAACACACCGATCTCGTAGCAGCTTTTGAACGTTACCTGGCTCCCAGCCACATCTAAATCCAGTTTATGTTCACTGTACAAAATCCTATCTTACGCACATCTTAAATCATGCGTAAAGGTGCACGTAAGAGAAGAAATGGACCCTTCACGAATTGAATAAGATGTGCTTAAAGAATGGATTTTACGTGGTTGTTCAGGTGCATTTTTACCCGGGAAAACACATATCCTGTACGTTGTGGAAGGTTGTACGAGGGCCGAGAATGACTTCCCCTGCCCAGGACGCGACCCTGACATGACCTCCCAGGCACGGGGGACGATATCGGCTTTCAACAACACCGCAGCGATACGTAAATGGTCCAAACGCCAGTATGTTTTAGCTTATATCTTTTAAATGTTTATACTATACTGTGTATTGTGACATAAATAAACTGCCTGAGGGAGGGAAGATGTTCACTGTCTGTCTTTCAAGATACGTGTTCCATGTATATAATTAGTATAGTACAAGTATAGAGCTAGATTATTAAATAGGACAACCATAGCGCTAGATTATTAGGAATGCACGTGAAATATTAATATTGGTTGATGAGCATCAATGTGCCTAAGACAAGTTTCACGATGACAAACCGTAAACCAAAACTCATACTTGACATTGAACCAACGCTTGAAGAATTAGAGACGATTAAGCTATGGACTTCAGGCTTCAGGGGGAAAAAGTAGAAATTGGCCAGACTGTACTCCTTTGGCAAGTCGAAATCCCCTAAACTCCCCTGGCATGTTTGTTATCTGTTTATTTGACCAGCCACCTAGTGCCTCAGAAGCCTGGTAGAAGCTACCTAGTGCCTCAGAAGCCTGGTAGAGGCTACCTAGTGCCTCAGAAGCCTGGTAGAGGCTACCTAGTCCCTCAGTAGAGCCTGGTAGAGGCTAGGCTCTGTAACGTCTTTGCCAATCTGAACAAATTCCAGTCACACAGCATTACCCTTTCAGACGTAAACAACGCGTGATTCGAATGTCCTTGGCTGACTTCTTGCGGCTGGTGTAATTAATTATAGCGTCTTGGAAATGTCAGACATAGCCGAACATGGCCTCCCGAACACCAGCCGAACTCTCCCCAACCATGGTTAGGCCACAGCAAGTAAATTTTATGGATGACATCCTCCGCAGATTCCAAATCTAATGCGAGCGGGCGAAAAAAAAACAAGGCGGGCCGAAAAATACAAGGTTCCTACAATTTAAAATTTTGACTCAATCATTGTACAAATGGTTTTGATTCAGTGAGAACATCACATATACACAGCCAGCATCACATATCACTGCATCAAAATAAGAAACAAAACATTAAATCAGAGCTTTTTCTTGTCTCCTCTCTTCATAGTTATCTGCCATCCACCTTCCGGCATGGCAAGAGACATCTTTGCCCATTTTCGGCATGCTAACCACTGTCAGAGGGCAACAAAATTTCTTGTTGTTTTTTTCCAAAATCATGCGAAAATTAATGCGCGCGCTAATGTCATCCATAAAAATTACTTGCTGTGGCCTTAGGAGTAGGTCGGGAGCAAGGTCGGCTGGTGTTCGGTCAGGTCGGCTACTGTTCGTCTGCACCATGAGGAATGTTTAAAAATGTTCGTTATAACATTCGGTTGTGGACGGAAGGTTCGGCCATGGTTGGCTGGTAGTCGGGTGGTGAACGGGAGAAGTTAGCAGTGGTGCATATGGTTGGCAGCCAAAATTGACTCAAATTTAAGTCAAATTTGATTGGTATACAAAGGTATAGGCGTGGTCTAAATCTGGTCAGACTGATCCCTAATTATAACTTGGACCAACCTAGGTCGGCTGGAGTTCGGGGGAAGGTTCTGAATGTGTGACAGGGGCTTCAGCCAACCTTGGTCGGCTGGTGTTCGGGGGAAGGTTCTGAATGTGTGACAGGGGCTTCAGCCAACCTAGGTCGGCTGGTGTTCGGGGGAAGGTCCTGAATGTGTGACAGGGGCTTCAGCCAACCTTGGTCGGCTGGTGTTCGGGGCAGGTTCTGAATGTGTGACAGGGGCTTCAGCCAACCTTGGTCGGCTGGAGTTCGGGAGAAGGTTCTGAATGTGTGACAGGGGCTTCAGCCAACCTTGGTCGGCTGGTGTTCGGGGAAGGTCCTGAATGTGTGACAGGGGCTTCAGCCAACCTTGGTCGGCTGGTGTTCGGGGGAAGGTTCTGAATGTGTGACACGGGCTTCAGCCAACCTTGGTCGGCTGGTGTTCGGGGGAAGGTTCTGAATGTGTGACATGACAGGGCTTTAGGCATGCTAACTCTAATTTCTGGGCCAGCTCTTTCACAACAACCTGAAGTTCAAAGCCGCTGGAAAGGTTCAAAGCCGACCAGCACAGACTCTCCAAATTAAGAACTGGAGAGTTTCCAACGACACACAATGGCCAGTAAATGCCAATGACATCTGTACTGACTACAATCCGAGTTGCCAGGGAGACCGTTCTGGAGGGGAATGCTGACAATGGGGAGGAACTTGGCTTGTTTGTCGCTCGGTAGTGTCCATCGATGGCAGCACAGTACTGCCAGTGTGTTTCTGCAATTGCATATTTGGCCAGCGGTCAAGTTGATGTGAACTTGTAAGAGTTCGGCGAACTGTAAAGGTCTGCGATCCGGCGAGCACAATACAAATCGCCATGTTGTGTTGGAAACATTTCGTTGACATATTTCCCCATTTCCCACTGTAGAAAAATTCATATTCCTAATGCAACTAGACAGACCTTCCATCGAAAAACTTTTATCTCTACAATAACTGAAAAGCGAGAAGTTAAATTCATCTAATGATATTTTTATCGTTGTGACCTAGCCTCCTTTCCAGACTTGTTGGGCGTCGGCGTTATTTTTTTCTGTGAGCGACGCGAGTAATATGCCGCGGAGGGACGATTTGCTGCCAAGGGAGTTTTTGCCGCGGAGAGAAGGATTCGCGCTCCAACAATGTTTTCATGAGGATGCATAGACACACGTTTCCGTGTGGATGCATAGACACATGTTTCCATGTGGATGCATAGACGCATGTTTCCATGTGGATGCATAGACACATGCATGTTTCCGTGTGGATGCATAGACACATGTTTCCATGTGGATGCATAGACACATGTTTCCATGTGGATGCATAGACACATGTTTCCATGTGGATACATAGACACACGTTTCCGTGTGGATGCATAGACACATGTTTCCAAGTGGATGCATAGACACATGTTTCCAAGTGGATGCATAGACACATGTTTCCAAGTGGATGCATAGACACATGTTTCCATGTGGATGCATAGACACATGTTTCCATGTGGATGCATAGACACATGTTTCCAAGTGGATGCATAGACATAGCCTCCTTCGCAGTGTTGTTTTTGCCTTCTCTCCGTGGCAAAAACTCCCTCGGCAGAAAATCGTCCCTCGCGGGGGCATATTACTCGCGTCGCTGACAGAAAAAATAACGACGACGTTACACGTTTAGATATAATCCAGTGTGTCAAAAATGTGCAATAAACGTCGTTACAAGTGTATTCATCATTATATTTGGATCAAAAGCACGAGCGTTCTCACTTCTTACTGGAGAACTTTAAAGAAGAGAATTATGATTCATTCGCAATTATCATTCAAATAAATCATCATTTGATTATGAATTATATCAGTTGTGCATATTCTCCACCCAATTTCAGTCTTATATTTAAAAATGGCAGCTGTTCTAGCATTTCCTCATAAATTATGCAAATGACGTCCTGATTGGAATAGGTTATGTTTGATGATGTTAATGTTGACTTGACTTCCAAATGCCGCAAGTATGAAATTTCTGCCATTTACCAGTATGGAATTATAATGTAATGAAATGAAATACCTTATTGTACATTCATGACTTAACAGACTAGCATTTTCTCAATAATTATGCAAATTGGGGCAAAATTTACATAATTGACATCTGCCAATGTTCCTCTTCCTCTTAATTACATAGGTCACAAGTTTGAATTGTTCTATCTTAGGAACGAAGGAGATTTATGGAATTTCGTCATTAATTATGTAAATTACATCCTGATTCGCATAATTGTCAACCATCATCAAGATACATACGCACCAAAATAACGACAATCCGTCAACCGGGTCTTGAGTTATCCTTCTTTTAACATTTGTAAACAACCGCCCCTGCAGTTCCCCAACAAGCCGCTAGGGGGCCAATCGTACGTCACTTCCTCCCGAGCACAGGAGCTAACTACCAACCAAATATCATGACCCTAGCATGACAAGATAAAAAGTGGAAATTCCGCTGCAGTACCATCTAGAGTTATCGTGTACACACACACACATACCACACACATACACACACACACACACACACACACACACACACACACACACACACACACACACACACACACACACACACACACACACACACACACACACACACACACACACACACAGACACACACACATACACACACACACACACATGCATGCACACATACACACACACACACACACACACACAAAACACAAAGAGACAGAGAGAAAGAGAGAAAGAGAGAGGCGAACGCCACTGAAAACATAACCTTCTTAGCAGAGGTAATTTATCTACGACAGATTCTCTGTGGCAAGGCGAGTCTATATTGGCCGCCTGTAACCATTGACCGTCTACAGAGGGCTGCTTGGAGATCAAGTTCTAGTTGCACTCTCCGGTTACAGTTAGTGGACAACGTCGGGTTTTAATGAAGCTGAACTTGTACCAAAAATATCCCGTATGTCCTTATGGAGAGGGCACCGAGACACAGTGTCAACAGGTCATCGTGTTACTGTGAAGGAGACGGACGTGTTTTTGGAGAGTTGGGAATACCCTGGTCTCAGATTCATTTCAGTTGATTACTACTTTCTGTATCTGTATCGATATAGCCGGTATAAGTTACCGCCCTTCGGCGTTACACACCAGCTTCGCAGGCACGCGGCGCGGCGGCAGCTAGCTATATCAAACCGAACGACTTGTTACACTTAATCTTTGCACATTTGATTGCAGGAGTTGTTTAAAGCTTTCTAGTGATGATGCCCCAACTGTGCTTGGTGGCAACGAGTTTCAGTCTACGATAGTTCTGGGGAAATACGAGTTTTTGAATACCTCAATTCTTGGTTGATAACTCTGACCCTGTCTATACGGAACCACCCAAGGCGGTTTACATGTGGTTTACCCCGAAGCCGGTTTCAAGTGGCTCCGTCTGAACGGTCCGAAATCACATTGAAAGCGCCTTTGTCTGGAGCCACTTCTAGAGGTGGTTTCGAATCGGTTTCCCCGCATCGCGATTTGCGTCTGAACGCAATGTGATTTCAATGTGACTTCGCCTGGTCATGGATTACGGAGTGATATTTCTTTTTTTATATGCAATACCAACTTTTACGTGGCAGCAACTTACAGAGCAGTAATGGTCAAATAATGTGTCCGTTCTAGGGCGAGCTTCACCGCCTCTGGCGGGACCACGTCGGCATTCGGCCGAGATAGGCTGGGAGGGGGGCATCGGCAATCATGTCGTTGACATCTGACATTAATAACACGCCGCCTTGCGTGTTATCATCAAACAGCAATAAATGTAGCGCAAGAGCATTATGTTCGGACACGGTTTCACAGGTGTGTGTGGCACGTGGACCAGATGTGAGGAATGTGAGTTACCCGAATCGCGCCTTGGGTGGTTCCGTATAGACACGGCCTCTGATACATGTATTTGAAGGCATGACTGTTTCTTGTTCTTTTCTGGGCTGGTATCAGATACTTAGTGGTTGGTACATCCACCAGTTTATCAGTCATTTTATACAGCTACATGGAAAGCAATACGAATGACAGTATAGTTATTCCTCGAAAAAAAAAACTGTCACTGAGAAAATGATGGTTATATTGATATTTACTTGTCACTTGTTTCCGGCTTACCGAAAAGCTGGATGTTATTTCAGAGTGCAACATCAACTTGATATTGAACGGGATATCATTGGCTTATATGTAGTGCATTGACCCCCACCCTCTCTATCTCATGTTCGTATTGGCAACGGGACAGGACACTGTTTCGAGCTCCCCTTGAAATATGTTCACCAGTTTCCCATCCCCAGAATGCATTGCGAAAACAGGGGTCTAAACCTTATTTGCATAGGGCAGGAAGGCATCGGAATGATTCTGTTGACGTTAAACAGTTTGTTTTTCAGTGTGTTTTGAGGTGTTGGGGCATTTTATGCTCAATGCTAATTAAATTCATTCTCTATTTGTTGTCAGATTCGACCCATAGTAATTTAATTAATGTTGAGCATAAAATGCCCCGACACCTCAAAACACAGTGAAAAGCAAGCTGTTTAATGTCACCAGGATCATTCCGATGCTTTCCTGTCCTATGCAAATGAGGTTTAGACCCCTGTTTTCGCAATGCATTCTGGGGATGGGGAACTAGTGAATGGTAAACATCTTAGAAGTACGCTGTCAAAAATCGCTTATATGAGTTTTAGACCATATAAAGTGCACCTTGACAGGCAAAGTAGTATTTTAGTCCAGATTTACAGGATTTCTAACGTCTTCGTTCGTTATCTATGCCCCCTCAAATAGCCTCAGATCACAGCAAACAAACCAAATTCTACACACAGTCTACCGAGCAGCTCAAGCAAACACAACCCTGCATCTTAGTTAGCGATGAATATATTTTTTTTTGCCAGACAAAAATACAACTAGAATGCATCCTTCTTGGTCGGCCTTTCTGATCATGTACACGTCATATGCTACTTGACAACGACGACGTACAACAATAAAAACACATGTGTGTAACCAGGAGTGCGCACGTTAACATGGCCAGGCATGGTCTGATATATTTCCTACGTTCTTTGTTCCGATATACCGGTAACGTTTTAGAATATCTGAACAGTGAACACTGACGTATATCATAATATAGTATACAGATAATGATAATGATGATACGTGTATTTCAATATTCTCCCGCTCTTTCTGTTATTGTTGATAAGCTGTGTGATTTCGCTGCTACATGTACACGTGTTAAACTACTATATTTCCCGACCTCCCACTCCTCTTCCGTGCTGTTTCCGGCTTCTTCTTCTTCTTCTTCCGCTTTGTGTTTTGAAGAGAGTCTTTTCAGCTTCCCCCTCGCCTCGGCCTGCAGCTCTCGACGACTTCTTGAGACGGCGGCGCTTCTCAGAGACCCGCGTGCCTTGGACGGAGAGTCCTTTTCGGACGACGTTTCCGTGTTTTCCAGTCCCGTTACTGTGCCCGTGGCGCTGGTTACTCCTGTGCCCGTGGCGCTGGTTTCTCTGCCCGTGACGCTGGTTAGGGACGTACCGTCGGACTCGGCACTGCCTTCGGGAAGCCTGAGGAGGATGGTGGAACAGCAGGCTATGCCAGTCCCCCGGTTGGGATATGAGGCCACCGCGCTCCACTCGTCTTTTTCCACATCGTAACATTCCACCAGGTCTACGATCTTGTTGGCGCACCAGTCGTAACCACCTGTAAAGTGAAATGTGAAGCAGATGGTTGTAAAGCCACTGCCACACGTAGCCAGAGTTTACCCCCCGAATACTTGCCAAACTTCCCACAACCATGGTTAGGAGTAAGCTGGTATTCGGCTAGGTCGGCTACTGTTCGGCTACGTCATTCGAATGTTTCAACATGGACGGGAGGTTCGGCCATGGTCGGCTGGTGATTTGGAGCAGGTCGGGGCGTGGTTGGCCTTGAAATTGGACTCAAATTTAACTCAAATTTGATGCTTATAGAAAGGTAGGCGCGGCCAAAATCTGGTCAGACAGCACCTGAACGTCAGCCAACCTGGTCGGCCGGTGGTCGGGGGAAGGTTCTGACTGTGTGACAGGGGATTTACAGAAGCTTTATGTGCCGATAAACTCATCATAAAGTTTGTGGAAATGTGGTCTTAAATATCAGACCTCAACTAGAACTGAATGCTGTCTGTGTGTCTGAAGGGCTGTCTATATGTAATTTGACGGTCGCATCGTCTCACACTTCAATGACAGCGTATACGTGAGTGCATTCAATGATGAAGATAAATATTGCCAGCCATGTCTTATATGTGTCTTTATCTCAATATCTACGACAGTCTCTCACCTACAACGTATATCTTCCCGTCCAGGGTCGCGCAGCCAGCCTCACTACGAGGCACGGACATGGGGGTCAGCCTGGTCCACTGGTCAAGGTTGGGGTTGTAGCTGTCCACTACGTCCACCCCCACCACGGTATGACCCTTCACCACAGTCACGCCTCCCACCAGGTACAGCCGGCCCCCCACCGGCTGCAGTGACGCCGAGAAGCGGTTGGTGAGCAGGGGGCGCTTCTGCTCCCAGTGGTTGGTGAGGGGGTTGTAACGTTCCAACTTGTTGGAGATTCTGTTGTGACCTGAACGCCGACAAAAACAGCTGGTGTAAGTCTACTGGCCAGCCCGTAACCAGTTGTTACCGGGACCAACTGGTTACGGGATGGCCAATAGACCACATTTGGTCACATATGTATTGAGCCCATTTGGGCAGGAATATGCAATAAAGATTCATTCATCAATTCACTAAACACTGACACGCGTGTCTGCAGACTGGCGTTACCTGACCCGCCCATGGCGTACAGACTGGCGTTACCTGACCCGCCCATGGCGTACAGACTGGCGTTACCTGACCCGCCCATGGCGTACAGACGACGGTTGTGCGTTGCCACGGCAACCTGTCTCCGCGGGGTGCTGATGGGAGCCACGTCCTCCCATTGGTCCACCTGAGGGTTGTACCGCTCCACGTCTGACAGGCTCTCCTGGTTAGTCACCCGCCCACCTGGAACACACAGGAGCACCGTTACAGGGACAGGCGCGTGTTAGAGACACGGTACAGACCGATATAGGGACAGGCACACGTTAGACACACATGTGTACAGTATGTCATAGGGACAGGCACACGTTAGACACACATGTGTACAGTATGTCATAGGGACAGGCACATGTTAGACACACGTGTGTACAGTCCGTCATATGGACAGGCACACGTTAGACACACATGTGTACAGTATGTCATAGGGACAGGCACACGTTAGACACATGTGTGTACAGTCCGTCATAGGGACAGGCACATGTTAGACACACGTGTGTACAGTCCGTCATATGGACAGGCACATGTTAGAAACACGTGTGTACAGTCCGTCATAGGGATAGGCATACGTTAGACACACATGTGTACAGTCCGTCATAGGGACAGGCACACATGTGTACAAATTGTTATAGGGACTGAAACACCTTTCACAGGCCCTCCTACCCAAAACGAACAGGTGCACAATGCACAGTGCTTAAACGGACAGGCGCACGTTGGACACATGTCTACAGAGAGTTATAAGGGCGGCCACATTAAACATAAAACTCTATTATATAGCATTGGTAGGTAACATGGTACAGTGCAAACTTTCTATTCGGAAACAAAGCTGTTGCCTAAAATTACACGATAGGCCATTTCCAATCATGAAGACGGTGCCTTCAGGGCAGACATCACATTTGCGTTGCGCAGTAGAGGCCAAAAATGGGTAGTGCCTAGTTAATACCTTTGAAAATCCTTTTTTCTCTTGAAAGTTTTGGTCCATCTTTGATTTTTGGGCTGGAAGGCACAGGTAGGGTCTAAACTTTCCTACATTGGTCAAGTTTTTTTTTTATTTCACCAGTTTAGTGGGCGTAGTGAGAGATGTGAGTGGTTAGGTCTTGTCTGGCCAGGCGGATGGATACCATGGAAAATGTAGGTCAAAGTTGAGGTTTTGTTACTATCATCAGCAGTGGCGGGAGTTTGAGCTGGTCGACCCCCTGTTTCCTTTCTATTTTTGGAAATCAGACCCTTGTTGCTACCTGGTGCAGAAAAAAAATTGAGATTTAAGTATGGGCAAGTACTTTCATGAGGACTTCTAATAGTGTATTTAAGCATGTGTTCCTATGGACAAATCTAATAGTACTGTCTGCCCTGAAGCGTCGCCTAGCAGGCCGCAACGCTTTTACCGAGCTGTCAGTTCGGTATTGCAATTGGTGCAACCCGAAGACCATCGGCGCGCCAGGTCACCCCGCCCATGACCTGAACCCACCAACTCCGACACAGACTCCCGCCCAAACCCTGTTTCCTCCTCTCGTGAGCAAGTGGGACAAGATTCCCCACGAGCCGGGTCTGTTTGTTCAGTTGGAGAGGTCAGACGGGAGGAGGGTTACTGTGTCGTCTGTCGGTGCTGTCTGTCACTCACAGATCAGGCTGGCGATGACTTGCGTTGTGTGCGCAGGAGAGCTATGCAATTTCAGGGTATGGCAAAACAAACAAAAAATTATATCTTCTGAATTAGGAAATCTGTCTGATATTGACATTTACTGTCATGTCTTAACAGATTTTTATCATCACTTCGTACCTGAATCTTTTGAAATAGCCCCAAAACAAGCTACGTGAGGCGTCTTTTTTATTTTCTGGAACCCGCCGATAGCTAGCTAAATCCAGCCTACGACTGACAAAACAAGTATCCGTTCTCCGTCAGAGACATCGCACACATGTATTTACCTCACAGTTATCCAGTTTTGAAGAAATTACATTGGCTGTCGATGGCACTTAAATACGTGATCATAGCACGTCGATTTATCTGCCATGTGTTGGTATGTGGAAGTCGGCAGAAACCGTAATTTCGGCACCTGTCTGGCAGAGTATACTTCGTCCGAACAGCTGTGGGGGTAACAGGTGCCCCTAGCATCTGTTTCACGAAGGTCATCTGGGAGGACTGTAAAACATGATTTATTTCGTCACGGAAACCAGGGCTGGTAAAAATATATCGTCCCTGGATGACCCAGACAGAGACAGCGGTCTCCGGCAGTTCTTGTTATTCAGGCGTGGGATGTGATGTCAGCTATACCGCAGTCTCCACCAGACTCCTTTTGCAGGGTGAATAAATCGTAGAAATTGGCCTAAAAGGGGATAGAATTGGCCAGGGAAGTTTCCCAGCCATCGAGGGTCGTGCAAGCCAATTGGGCCCTCGATGGCCGGGAAACTCCTCTGGCCAATTCTATCCCCTTTTAGGCCGATTTCTACGATTTATTCAGCCTGCAAAAGGAGTCTGGTGAAGACTACTCTCCAAGCAGAGGTTTGCGTTTTGGGGGCATTTTTAGGTTTTTTTATCGGGGTTTCTCTTTTGTACTGAATTTTTTCCCCCCCAAACCCAACCTCTGCCGGCACTCACCCCGGGGAGGGGTAAACCTATTTAAAGGTGGGTTTGGTGAGGAAAAAAGACTTTTGGTTGAGAATATGATAAACTGGTATAATTCATGAAAAGGAGGATCCTATTTGCACTATCAGGGGGAATATTCTATAATTTGTCAATCATAAAGATTAACGTCATTTGGCGAAGGTATGAGATCGGGGAGCTCTAGTTTATAATGTAGCGAGAACATAAGTTGCCTATAACTCGAGTCCGCCGGCCGCCCGTCAACTTGCCTTTGCCCATTTATTTGTATTGATGTTTCTCAATGAAATTAAAAAAAAAAGCTATTTGACCTGTCCAAACAACAGTAAAACAATATAACTTGCAATGATGTAGGGGTGGTCCGATCGCCTCTTTGATTTGTCCCTAAGGCCATGTTGATTTGATTATATGGATGACATCCTCCGGGAACCCCAAAATTGATGCGCGCGTGCGAATAAAAAGAGTTTTGCAAAAAAAAAGTTGTTTTCATTATGAAATCTACATGGTCATGAGGGTTGAAGAAATGGGACAGAATATGGTTTGGCGAAAAATCTAGTCTTCAAGTTCATTTCTTTACAATTTCGTCTGTTTTCGTTTCATTTTGGCATTCTACGACATTTGTATGTTTTTTTTAACTTACGGTATATTTTTGCTCATTTTGCAACTGTTTTGTACGATTTACAGTATGGTTGAAAACTTTTTTTTTTGAAACGGCCGAAAATTCATGCGCGCGCGGATGTCATCCATATAATCAAATCAACATGGCCTAACTCGTATTT